TTCCTTCTCGAGTCAGCTTATGTACTCTTCAGACCAAAAAAAAAAACTTAAAAGGGGGGAGGGAGAATACAAAACTGTATGGTATAATCCCAGTTTAAAAAATTTGTGTATTTTTATGCACCATATAAAGAGCTAGATAGAAATATATTAAAAAGTTAAACGTGCTTGTCTCTGGGTAGTAGAATTATGGGTGATTTTTGTTTTCTCCCTTATCAGCCTGTACTTTCTAAATTCTCTCTAATAAGAAATTATTGTAATAAAGAGAAGAAATAGCTATTTTAAATTATACAAATAATCTGAAAGGTTAGGAATGAAAGGAGGATACCTTAAAGATAAAACATATTCTTTATTTTTTTCTCTTAATTTGCCAGAGGGCACATGTTCTCACTAAAAGGTGGGGTATAGTGAAAAAAGCACCTCCCCATGGGGCATAATAATGCCACAGAACCTTCCTCATTTCACCCTCCTGTCAGGATTTTGGGCAGACACACATAATCCCTGGTGCATTTCCCAAACCTCCAGGTCTGGGATTTGAACTACATAGTTGGCCATGTGGGATCCAGCCACATAAACCATCATGCCACAGGCTGGCCCATGGCATGAAATATATATTCTTAATGACTGTTGCATTTGAAATCTTCCACAATATAGTAGATTCAAGGATCATTCATGAAAACGCAATAGAAAAAAACAGAGTCCAGAGAGTAACTCAAGAAACTTTTGGAGACTACCCTCAACCACGACTGGAATTTGCACAATACAAGGTAAGATATTACAATAACCATATCAACAGTAGATAAGATACCAGTATTTTTTTAAAAGAACAAAAACCTTCAGTAGAAAACAAGTCTTAAGGGACTGGCAGGTCATATGGTGGTTGAGACACTGGACTCCCACAAGGCCAACCATGGTTCAAGTCCCAGACCTGGTGGCTTGCTTTCTCACTTTCTCTCTCTCTCTCTCTGTCTCTCTGGTAAAATTAAAATAATTGAATAAATAAGTATAATTAAATAATTACTTTTTAAAAAGAAAACAAGTCTTAAGAAACCTTTCCTTTTTCATTTATCACTTCAGTTTTGTATAGTACATTTTTTAGTTCCATTTCTACGACTAAGTCATTAAGCAGATTGGTCAGTAAGCTGGGAACTTAAGGGTGGATGTCTCGTGGTTTGCCGTGGCACCATAAGGTTTGTATTTTTTGATAGATATGCGACATCATACTAGAATAATGTAATTCTGTCCATATAAAAAGCATACATTAGATAAGCATCAGAAAGCAACAAGCACACCACTACACAGTAATATAAATCTAATCAATTTATTCTGAATGCTACTATGAGTTCGTAATAAAGCACAAATTTATGCATGAACTAAGTAGTCTTGCATGATGGTAAACGCTTCGTGTAGTGAATACTAACTGACTTCAAGAGCAAGACAAGGACTGAGAAGGGATTCCCTACCCTGGAGAACCGGTGTAAGTCCGGGTGCTCGTTTAACGGGCACGTCACTAAATGAGGAGTGGCTGTATTAATGTAGTTATGTATGACTGGCTGTGATCCTTACATTAATATTCAAGGGGGAGAACCTGTAGGTAATATTTTTCTAGCCCATTCACGCCTAGAACATCACTTGGCACAGAGCAGATGCTCATAGATACTTGTTGAATAAAGCATATAATGCAGCCCTCACTAACAACCTGCTAATACCTGTTTAATCACCGCTGAGACTTAAAAGCAGTTCTCCAGCTTGAGGAATCCCTTTCCTTAGTGTTTTTCTTCTTCAGCAGTGAGGTGGCAAGCACAAGCATAGAAGCAGCAGAAAATTGTGTTTGTCAATTCAATAAAATTATCAAGGAAGGCAGCTACCACCTGGAACAGATCTTAGGTGAGGATGAAACTGGGCACTTTCAGGAAAATATGTCTGGAATGTCCTACCTACACAAAGAAGCTGAAACAGTGCCTGGTTTTAAGGCTTTTAAAGCCAGTGTCATGTTGTTGGGAGGAAGCGGAGGGAAGTCCTCCTAAGGACAGTTTAATAGAGCTGGAAATGCAGCAGGACTTAGAAGAAAGAGGAAAGAATGGAAGAAGTACAAAGTTCTCTGTACAAGGATCAGCCAGCGTCTTCTCAAAAGGTAATGGGGCTCTATTAGAACTAGAGAGAATAAATCTGAATGCTGAGCAGTTCACGGAAGTGCAACAGCAAATCATGAAATTTATGAAGAACAAAAGAAACTTACAGAGCAGACCACGATAATAAGATTCTCCTTGAGGGACCAGCAGTTGGCATAATGGCTATGTTGCTGGACTCCCATGTAGTCGACCACAGTTCAAGTCCCGGACCCAGTGGCTTAAACTCACACCGGGCGCATGTGTGTGCGTGCCCAGGATCCTGAGAGGAGAATGGAACAGAAGGGATTGCGGCATGGCCCTCCCCGCTGGGGGTGATTTCTCGCTTTCTGTCTTTATGTCGCTCTTTCTGGTGAGCACACACACCTTATAACAAAAAAACTCTCAAAAATAAAATAAAGATTCTCCTTGAAAGCTACACCCAACACCTCTTCCACTGGAAATAGCTTTATTTCATCACTGTCACCTCCCTTAATCAGGCCCTCCATAACTCATGATAACTCTGATGGTGACATTGATGACCTTGAACCACTACCACACTTTGAAGAAGTCAGTGGATAAAATATTAATCTTTTTTATGAATGAACTTTAATTTTTTGGTACCTCATCTTTATTATTTTTGCCAACTATGTTTTTATGTTCTGTTATATGTAAGAGATGCAAATTTAAACAAAGTTATCAAGTTAGAGTTTCCTTTATATCTTTTCATTACTCAGAATAAATAAAAATCAATCACGCTAGATTTATATTACCATGTTGTGGTGTGTCTTGTCGCTCTCTGGTGCTTATCTAATATGTGCTTTTTGTATGGATAGAATTACATTATTCTAGTGTTATGTCACATGATATCTATTGAAAACTACATACACATCCTATGGTGTCAAGATACCCACAAGACATCTGCCTTTAAGCTCTTTGCTTAGTGACCAGTTAGCTTAACACCTTAGTCATAGGAACTGGGTCATTAAGTAAGGAGTGCCTATAAAGAAGTCACTACATAGCCCACTTGGCCTCACATGAAGAAAGAACGGTAGCGTATACAGTACTGCAAATGTAGCTCCTTCCAGAAGTTCACTGCTTCTCACCAGAAAAGGACCACAGGTAATTAATGCAAGCCCATTGCCACCGTTAGAACCTGAGGTTTCTATCATGATTATGCTAATCTCTTTGTATCTTCCTAAGCTAGAGCCCACACCTTAAATCTACCACTAATCTGCTCACTTCAGCCCAATGCCTGTTTGGATTGATTTGTTTTTAATGGGAGAAGCTCATTGACTTCTTCCAAGTAGTTTCCTTAATGGCAGGTTTTAATCCAATTCCTTTATAGACAACTCCTAATGTAGGACAGTGGTTCTCAAAGTGTAATCCCTGGACTAACTACGTCAGCACTTGGAAATGGGTCAGAAATGCAGATTTGAGGCCCACCCTAGTCCTACTGCATCAGGGGAGGTGGGACCAGCAATGTTTTCACAAACCCTCCAGCTGATTCTCAGTGCCCTAAAATCAGGACCACTGGGCCAGGATTCCGAAATGGATGCAGGAGACTCAATTCACTGAACTTCCCTTCACACACCTGTTAGAATGATCCTTTCTTGTAAGTCAAGATGCACATTTATACCTACTAATTTTTCCCTAGCTTTTCTATTTTGAAAATGTCAGACCTTCAGAAAACTTGGAAGGATATCCAAAGAACATTCATTATCTTATTTCTCTTCCCAGTTAACACTTTGTCACATTTGCTTTCTTTTTATTCTGAATCATTTGAGTTAGTCATAGACGTTACTCATCCCCCAAACATTTCCACATACTGCCTCCGAACTTTAAGAATCACCTTAAGTTTAAAAAAAAAAAAAAATGGAAACAGACTCTAAGAGCCAAGTACCTGTTGAAGTAGCAGTACAGTTAGTTGGCCCTTAGTATTTACCAGTTCAGCATTCAGAGATTCCACCTGCTGTGGATGGAATACACTCAGAAAAGACAATTGGTTGTGCCTGTTCTCAACATGTACAGACTTACTTTTCTTGTCGCCCTTCCCTAAACAGTGCAGTGTAACAAGTATTTCCATGACGTGTACATTGCATTACATATAAGTATCTGAAGAGGATTCACAGTGTACAGGAGGATGTGCATAGATTACATGCAAGTAATACGCATTTTATGTAAGGGATTCAATCATCTGAGAATCTGGGTGTCCTCGAGGAGTCATGGAACCAATTCCCCCCACAGATTCCAAGGGACAACTGTACTTGGACCTGATGATACATGATTTTTTTCATTGTTATTAGTTATTTGGTATGCCATGCTATTGGAGTTTTGTTTTTAAGAAGAGTCCTTTTGTGTCTCTTGTGGATACATACTGGAGTATTTAAGCTAGAATGTTATGATATCTTGGATTTGCTTCAAAATAACACAGTGGAGGAGAGCTGTGGGAAATAGAAGGCAGGATAAAGATGAAATAAAACTGGTCATGAGCAGATGAATCATTTCACTGGGGGTAATATGCACATGAGACTCAATCTGTGGTCCTTACTTTTGTATATGTTTAAAACCTTCCAGACCGCCCATGACCTCATGGTTAAGGTGGCTGTATCCCACATGACCTACCGCATAGTTTGAATCCAGAACCCCATGGCTTGAAAAACACCAGGCATTTGTACATGCATGCCTACAATTCCAAACAAAGAGAGAAAGGGAGGAAAAAAGACTGTGGTGTGACCATTCCCATGGGGGGGGGGTGCTTTCTTGCTTTCCCTCTCTCTTTTTCTCTCTCTTGATCTCTCTCTAGTGAGTGCATATGCCCTCTGGAATTTTTTTTTAACTCTCCATCATAGGAAATTAAAAAGAAATTATAGCGGTAACTCAAAAGGTATTTTTACATTGAAATGGCAGATTACAAAAGGTGGTGGTAATTTTCCATTAAAAAATGCACACTGGGACCAGCAGATACTATAATGGTTACGTTGCTGGTTGACCCCAGTTCAAGTCCTGGGCCCAGTGGCTGAAAACTCACACTGGGCACATGTACATCCATGCCCAAGATCCCAAGAGGAGACTGGAGTAGAAGGGATTGCCATGTGGCCATCCCCCTGGGATGATTTCTCACTTTCTGTCTCTCTGTCTTTCTCTGACGAGCACATGCACACTATAGCAAAAATCTTTCACCAAAAAATGTAAACTGTAAGGGCCAGCAGGTGGCATAGTGAATGGTTAAGGCACTGGACTCCCTATCACGGACCGCAGTTTGAATCCTAGAGGTGGTGGCTTGAAATTCACTCCAGGGGGTACCGGCAGGTTGCACGGTGGTTAAGATGCTGAAGGCTGACCACGGTTCAAGTCCCAGACCTGCTGGCTTGCCTGCTCACTTTCCCTCTCTCTCTCTGTTTCTGTCTCTTTCTGGTCAAATTAAAATGAATGAATGAATAAATAAATAAATAAAAGAAACTCACCCCGAGCACATATGAGTGCATGCATTAAATCCCACAAGAAGAATGGAGGAGAAGGGATTGCAGTGTGGCCATCCCCCCAGGGAGTGATTTCTCACTTCCCCTCTCACTGTCTCAGTCTCTCTGCATCTCTCCAGTAAGCACACGAGACCTATGGGGGAGGGGAAGACTTAAAAAAATTTTAATCTGTAAAGGGCACCTGAGGATGGGCCTGATATTCAACGACTAGTGTCAGCCACTGCATGTGGGTATTCCGTTTTGGATATTGTGTAGTGTGTGGGTTGCAGTTAGCAAATTGTGTGGTCCCCACCCTCATTGATCCTATTTTCTTGATGATGAGAGTTAATGAATGTATGGTCTAGTTTCATTGTATTTACCATTCTAACTGATAAATTTCATAGTCATGTGTAAAAACATCTGCTTACAGCTTGAGACGAAGTTCAAAAGTGACTTAAATGGGGGCGTCTTGGCTGAGAGGCAAGAACCCCTCCGGTGCCTGATAAAGTTCTCGAGCCCACACCTTTTGGAAGCATTGAAATCCTTAGCACCAGCCGGTGAGTTACCAGCTTATTTCACAAGTTAGAAACATCAACAGCATAGCTCCGTTGGATCCTGTCTCCTGACTGCTCCCTGAGCTCTCCCAGCACCCCAGTCTGCGAGCACATCTGCCCTGTTCAGCATGTTCTGCTGCACTTAATAGGGGGAGGGGGCATGTCCACGTCCACCTCTAATCTTGGGTATTTTTATACAGGCTCAAATCTTTGTGATTATTTTAATTTTCCTCCCTTTTTATTTCTTTCTTTGACTTTAGGTATTGCAGATGCACCACTTTCTCCGTTGCTCACTTGTATACCCAACAAGGGAATGAATTATTTTAAAATTCGAGATAAATAAGCTAGATGTGACCTTGTAAGCACAGCAATTCCCTAACTACGTTGCACACACGTTGTAGTTAATGGCTAGCTCTCCAGCTGCTGTCCATAGGCTTGTATTTTAGAAATTAACTCCTTGCCATTGAAAATTTAGAACTATTTGTATAATTGTTGGGCCTGATTCCTCCACTGTGTGCCCCCCACCCCCGTACATCCTGCTAAGTACAGCAGTTGTGGGGCATTGAAATGGGACAGGCCATACATGGCTCCAGGCTGGACCCTGAGTGCCTGAATGCCCTAAAGTCACGCATGGCACAGTGGTTGGCCCTTTCCCTGCTCCATCCTGGGGAGGTCTGGTTCCAATCGCTGACTTCCAGGGATTGTTTTCTTAATCGCATCATGGAAAAAAGCACCAAGAAACCAAACCCAACTCAGCACTCCCCCAGAGAACCAAAGCTGCTCCATTCAGAGAGGAGTTGTACCAGTTCACTTCTTACAATAGGATATAGCAGCAGATAAGGTGATTCAGTTCATATGATGTAAGTGTTTCATTGTAAATAAACTGAATAATCTGTTTTATTATATGTATGACATTCAAACTGACTAATACCATACTGATTTGGGAATAAAGATATTTAAATACGGATACATCAGTTAATTTTGATGGAAATCCTTCAGTGATCACTGAAAAACAGGACATATCCTTTTAAAATATATTTTTTTAGATTTTGCTAGCATATGCTAGTCAGAGAGATTCAAACAAGAGGGGTGAGGGAGGAGAGAAGTTTAAAATTACCCCTGTGGGGATGACCATGCTGCTTTCCCCTCTCCATTCTCTTGGGATTTGGGGCATGCATGCACACATGCCTGGCATGTCTTTCAAGTCTTGGGGTCCAGGACTCAAACCACATAGCCATGTGGGATCTAGCACCTTAACCACCATGCTATCTGCTGGCCCTAAAATATCATTTTAAAGTCCACTCCCAATCTTGTTCCAGAGAGGATTTGGGATTATAAAAGCATGTTGCAATGACGAAATGTAAAGATGGGAGATAAAGGGATTGTGGTGTGACCATGCCCCCACTGGAGAATGCTTTCTCCCTGTCTTCTCTCTGCACATGCCCTCCAGCAGAATTTTTAAACATTAAAAGGTGAGGAAATCTGGGCAGATGAGGGAACAAAAAACATAGAGGAGAACAAAATAAGACTTGGGATAAAATAACTATGTAAGAATGTACAAGTGCCTCTCCAGTTCCAGAAGATTGGAAATTTAACATGGAATCTGTCAGTGTACAACACAAAAACAAACACTTGCAAATAAAGATGTTTAAAAACTGGTATTCGAGTTACTTTTGCTAAAAACCAGAAAGAGGCTTATACAGAATGCATACAGTTAGGAAAAGGGGGGGAGGGGTAAACAATACTTTATAATAAAATGGTACTGTCTATAGGTTGTAAGTCATGTGAAAAACTATTGTTCATATATAATTAACAAATGTCATATATACTTTAGTTATCCCAGAATGAGGCACTGAGTCCACAGGGAGGGACTAAAAGATGACCATTTCCTTCTGTACCACAATCGGCGAAGGGCGCCTTTCCTATGCGCACACTCAGTACACCTGCACAGAGGTCCTGCTAGTACTGGTGGCTACTCCTGGCTCAAGCCCTCCTTGATGCTTGGCAGGAATGTGTAACAAGCCTGAACAAGAAAGACTATACTGCCACTTGGGGCTGCACCCTGGGACACTCCTAGACAGAGGCCCCTGCTTCAGAAAATGAAAGGACTGGGACTAGCAGATGGCATAATGGTTACATCACTGGACTCTCACGTAATCGAACACGGTTCACATCCCAGACCCGGAGGCTTGAAACACACTAGGCACGTGTGTGTGCATGCCCAAAATCCTGAGGAGAGTGAAGGAGAAGGGATTATGGCATGCCCTCCCCCCAGGGGTGATTTCTCACTTTCCATCTCTATCTCTTCCTGTCTCTGGTCAGCACACACTATAGCAAAAATATCTCTTAAAAGAAAAAAGAAAACAAAAGGACTAGTTGAAAGTTCCCCCAAATTCTTTGATCTATTATGTACTTGATGGACATTATGTAAATGCAACTTGGGAACAGATGACAATGACCCCAACAGTTAAAGGAATTTACTACACATAGATAGGATCTCCAAAAATGAGTAACAGCAAATGCTTTCTGAGCACTCGCTATGTTAACAGGCACAGTGCTAAGTATTTCAAGCTCATTATTATATTTTCACAATCCCATGAACTTGGGATGTCAGAAAAGTCATGGCATATTTTTCTGTGCAAAAAGGCATCATGGCTTTTCCGACAACCCAATAGTTTTATTGTTCTTTTAATTTTCTTTTTTGAGAGGTTTTTCCTATAGGGCCCATGCACTCGCCAGAAAGAGAGACAGAAAGTGAGAAATCACCCCCTGGGGGTTGGCCACACCACAATCCCTTCTCCATTCTCCTCTTGGGAACACATAACTATTATACCAACTGCAGATCCTAGTTTTATTACTCTTAAGTGAATGCCCAGATCTTAGGCTAAGCAGCAGCTGAGCCTGAACTAACCCCAGGCAGTGAGACCCCATGACCTGCATTATAGGAAACTATCCCACAGTGCTATGGTTTGGGTTATGTGTCCACCAAAGGTTCATGTTTTAGAAAATGGTCCCCAGTGTGACAGTACTGGGAGGTGGTGGGGCCTAGTGGGCCTGGATCATGGTGGCATCCCTCCTATGAATGCATTAACAATGTCTCACAAGAGACTGAGTTCTCTTGCTAGCGCTCATGAGAGAGAATTAATTTTTGTTGAGTGCCAGTTGTTATAAAAAGTTACATGGAGAGAGTCTGGCTTCTGAGCGGTTACTCTAAATTCCCAAGCAACGAAAGAGAATTAAAAATGGTTGACGTTGAAAAAGGCAAGAAGATTTTTGTTGAGAAGTGTCCCCAGTGCCACACCGTGAAAAAGGGAGGCAAGCACAAGACTGGCCCAAATCTCCATGGTCTATCTGGGCGGAAGACAGGTCAGGCCCCTGGATTCTCTTACACAGACGCCAACAAGAACAAAGGCATCACCTGGGGAGAGGATTCTCTGATGGAGGATTTGGAGAATCCCCAGAAGTACATCCCTAGAACATAAATGACCTTCGCTGGCATTAAAAAGAAGTCGGAAAGAGCAGAGTTGATAGCTTATCTTAAAAACGCTACTGAGTAATAGGTGGCCACTGCCTTATTTATGACAAAACAGAAATGTCTCACCTTTTTTATGTGTACCATATTTTTTAATTGATCTCCTACACCAGAACTCAGATCATGAATGGCTGACAGGATATTTTTGTTGGAAAATCCTGATTTAAGTAACACTGGCTTGTGGTTAAATTAATATTGTTTTTTTTTTTAATTTTTATAGTAATTTCAGTTCAGTAAGTGCTATCACTACTTGCCCTTTCTAAAGATATAATTGGTAATTCATTAGCGATGCTCATCTTCCTACAAGGACGGTGAATGCCATCTCAAAGCCTACTGGAGATTGCTTTTATTTAGGCTTATATGTAACTGGTTATATGAATATATAAATGCTGGCAAAATCCCTTCACTTCTCGAAACTAAGCAGACTCACCTGTATTTTCATTTGTGTTTATTAACCTGTTAAGGCAAAAGCTGAAGATAAGGTAGTGATGTCTACTTTATATATTTGGTCATAACTCTACCAATTTAATTAGAATTCCCTGTATCCAAAACACTGCCTTTTACTTATTGAAAGACATTTTAGTATGGTTTATGTATACTACCAAAGAATATGTAACAGTTTACATATTTATTTATTTATTTATTTATTTTTATTATCATAATAATCTTCTTTCTATTATACTAGATTACATACAACTTTACATTGACTTCCATTGCTTTTTCAAAAGGGAATGCCATGCATGTCAGTCAATACAGAGATATCAATCTCCCCGCTTTATCATTCAATATCTTTTCCATGCTTTTCCCAATAATTATTATTATAATTTTTTTAAACAATCAATCACTATTTCTCATTTTGCTTATTAAAAAGACTTCACCCATCATGAAATACTTCCCAGACCGGTTCAGTTGAGAATACTATACATGTCATCATCAACAGGTAATAAACCATATCTATTTCTCATTAACATCCTGCCTCTCTATTGTTCACTGCTGTCTTTATCCTCTTCTCTCTCCTTTTTTTTTTTTT